GCTGGTGTCTGCGGCCCTGCGCCGACCTCTCGCAGCGCTGGGTTCGCTGGGAGCCGCTTCTCGGAGCGTGCGAGGGAGGGAGCACGGAGCGGAGCCTGGCGGGGGGCTGCGGGCGCGCGGTGCCGTGGCTGAGCGCCTGGGCATTCCCCCGCTGAGCGAGTCAGAGCTTTCAGACTTTCTTCCAGTCGTTCAGGGAGGAGGAGGAGGAGGTATTTCTCAGAAGAAAGTAGTGGCTATTCACAGGGTTCTTCGCAGCCTGTGCTTTAGCCTCTTGTCCCATGCGTCAGCCTTGTCCAGGCCTGTGTTTGCCACGCCGCTGGCCGAGATGCTCTCCTCTGGGGTTTAGTGGTGCTGAACAGCGGGCTCCTGCGAAGTCAATCGAAACCACGTGTGTGTGACACCTCTGAACTCCATTAAAAGAGTGAAAGGGATGTCTCTTTTCAGACCAGAAAGGCATTAAATGTAGCTTTCTTCAAATTGGGACCATGGGGTTTTTCTCCTGACTTATTTCGTTACAAGTGGGGCCCATGACGGTGAGGTAGGCACTGGTCTCACCTGGTCAAAGAGAAAATTATTTTCTGGAAGTAATTAAAACAGATGGGAGGGTTCAAAACAATTAAACATTCTAAACTGATGCTTAAAAATAGTGAAAAATGGAAGTCCTCGCGTGGTCTTGGCGTTTCGCTGCGTGCAGCCAGATGTGCTGACACATCGGCTGGTGGTCCCTCCCCCAGCCGTTTCAAGTCCCTGTCATCGCCAGATCTCGGGGCCAAATAGAAGCGCTAAAGACGTCAGCTGCCACCCGTCTTTGGTCTGTTCTGCTCTCAGATGGGGGTTTGTTCTCGGCGGCAGGAGCGTGTGTCCTGCGCAGTCGCTGCACAATCGGGGGTATTGGCAGTGGGCAGCGGAGGGGCGCGACACGCTGGGGACGGGCCTGGCGAGTGCCTTGTGCTCCTGTTCTTCCTCTTGCTGCAGATTAAATACGGTGACACAGCTACCTCAGAAGGAGTCCTCTTTGCCACTTACTCGGCGCTGATTGGTGAGAGCCAGGCGGGTGGACAGCACAGGACACGCTTAAAACAGATTTTGGACTGGTGCAGGGAAAACTTTGATGGAGTCGTATCCTTTTAGAAAAAAAAAAAAAAAAAAAGGTGAAAACTGGAGAGAGAAGAGTTGTGTGCTTGTGATTGTACTTCCCCAAGGAACAGAGGGCTTGGGGCCGTCTGAAGTCGCCGGGAGCAGCTGCGCCGCAGCCTGGTGCCTGGGGCAGCTATTTCAATGCTGTGAGCACATGCGTCCCCCCACGCTCCTCTCTGCTCCTCCACGGGCTGCAGTGTTGATGGGAGGAGGGGAAGAACACAGCTGGGATTAGCCTTTTCAGCATCCTTCTCCCTCGGCCTTACAAGACAAGACACACCTTGGAAGTGAAGGGAGAGGGAGGGAGAAAGGACTTGGGGCTCTGAGGAGCGCAGGACGAGGCACAACCTACAGATTTCATGTGGTGTGGGGAGCGAGTCGGTGCTGTTGGTACTGGGGCTGGCTGTTCAGTTGGCTGGAGGAGGCTGGGTTGTATTTTCTGCCCGCTTCCCTCCTCGGGATGAAAACGGATCCTTTCTCCTTAACTGACGTTCCCCTCCAGATTGTGTTTGATGAATGCCACAAAGCCAAAAACGCCAGCTCTACTAAAATGGGCAAAGCAGTGCTGGACCTTCAGAACAAGCTGCCTCGAGCAAGGGTTGTCTATGCCAGTGCCACGGGTGAGTGTCTCTCGGCGTTGTGTGGGCAAACCGTCGCCAGTCCCCTCTGTGATCTGAAGGATGCCCTTGAGATGGGGCACGTACGCTGGGGGTGCGCGTTCGCGCAAGAGGTGAATGGTGCTGCAGTGCTAGAGGGGACCCTGAGGTGCCAAGATCTGCCCTAAGCCCCATCACTGCCCTTGCTCGTGACTTTTTGGCAAGTCAGACTAGTTTCTCTCCAGTTTAACTTGTTCCTGGCTGGCTGTTCGGCTGTCTGGTGGTGCTTGCCCACCGAGTGTGTGGAGGGCGAGGTTTGGAAAGGTCCTCGGGTCTCCTGAGGCACAACGGCGAACGACCGTCCCCTTAGGAGTTCGCTTTACTTGAGTCAAAACCCTTCACCATGGCTGCGGTTCTGCTGACAGTGAATTCTGTTCCAACAGGTGCCTCTGAGCCAAAAAACATGATTTACATGAGCCGCCTGGGCATCTGGGGGGAGGGCACCCCTTTCAGAGCGTTCGATGAGTTCCTGCATGCGATTGAGAAGAGGTGAGTCACGTCCAGCGACCCTTTCCATGTGGCTGATGGTTTGTGGCAGCGTGTGTTTGAGAAATGGGGGCAACGCCCGAGGACGGTGTCTGGGGGCAGCCTGAGCCAGGAGAGGTGGCGGCTCTGCAGAGGCTCCTGCCCGGAGCTGCCCTTAGCAGGGGTTTCACGGCTGTCTTCCCCTCCCAGGGGCGTTGGTGCAATGGAGATCGTGGCAATGGATATGAAGGTCAGTGGGATGTACATTGCCAGGCAGCTCAGTTTCACGGGAGTGACCTTCAGAATCGAGGAGATCCCGCTGGATCAGCAGTACAAGATTGTCTACGACAAGGCAGCGAAGCTGGTGAGCTGTGGTGGGGAGACGGGCGTTCAGTTGCGCTTCGGGCATGGCCGCGTGTTGTGTGGGAGGGTCTGAGGACTCTGGATGTGGCCTTGGCCACAGACGTACTTTGTTCATAAGAAAGCGGAGGGTGCACGCACTCAGCCTCTGTAAAAAAACGTACACTTTTTTGCTTCTATTTAAAAGTTCCGTATTTGCAAACCGGAGCTTGCGACATCACCCTAATGCAGAGAGAATGGCCAGACTGTTCGTTCAGCCTCACGTGGCGACATAAATACTGATGTTAGCTCAGATTATCGAACCCCAGGCTGTCCTAATAACCTCCTGCGCAGCAGTAACGAAAATGACAGCTAAGATACTAACACAGCCTTCCTCGGTGTTGTCTGCAGTGGGCAGAGGCCTTGATGGTGTTCCAGCAGGCAGCCGACTGGATCGGCTTGGAGTCTCGGAAATCCTTGTGGGGCCAGTTCTGGTCAGCTCACCAGCGCTTCTTCAAGTATCTCTGCATTGCTGCTAAAGTCCGGCGACTCGTTGAGCTTGCCAAGGAAGAGCTGGCGAAGGATAAGGTGTGGTATCAGCCTCGCTGCAGCGGCAGCAGCCATCAGTCTCAGGTTACCAGTGATTTTGTAGCCTGCAACCCAAGGGAGTTAGTTATTGTTCATCTTGAAAGCAATTTCAAACCTCTCTAGGGCTGAATTTCTCTCCAGGTTAACCAGAATGAGGCGCAGTGTCTGGGTTTCTGAGAAAGTTCCCAGTAAATGATACTGGGGAGTTAAGGTGGCCTCCTCTTCTGAGGCATTACCCGTATTTGTCGATGGTAGGTGTGGGCGAGCTGACCTGAAAGGGTGTTCTGGGCCGTGTTCAAGCCAGAAGAGGTGCCAGATCCTTCACCTCGAGCACAGCTCTGTCCTTTCGTCTGTCTGGATGCCACTTGGAAATTTTAGGCAGAAACTACCTAGGAAAGTCAGCCAGCTCCTGATGTCAGCCAGCTCCTGGTGTCAGTCATCTCTGTGGCGTGGGGAAGGTGGGGCTTTGGATGCTGAAAGACTTGAGAGATGGTTCTTCATCAGGAGCCCGGCTACAGGCCCCACACGTGTTTGTGCCACGGTCCGAGGGAAACACACCCAGGCCCGTGAAACAACCCCCTGAGCCCGTAGCTGCTCGCCCCGGTGCCGGCGGCG